CAGTGAGTGCTGTCAGTGAGGGAGCCGAGTTCTTCCCATCGCAATCGAGTTTGGCTATCATTGGAAGTGCTCTGAGAGCACCGGCAACGGCACCGACTGCCAGTACTGGAGGATTGGGATTGGGTGGAGGAAGCAGTTTGTTCGGGAATACAGGTTAGTTGAGAGAGAGATTCGTGAAACACTGAAATTCTGGAAATTCCAAGAATTTGAAATTCTTGAAATGATTCTGAAATTAAGTAATTCTGAAATTTTTTTTAAATCTGAAATTCTGGAAGTTCTGAAAACGCTAAAATTCTGAATTTTTTGAAATTTTGATATTTCGAGAATCTGATATTCTGAAACTTTCAGAAATTCTGAAAGTTTTGAAAATCTGGGGAATTATGGGCATTCTGAAATTCTAAAGATTCGAGATTCAGCGATTCTGAGATTCTGCAAAAAATTTGGGTGCCCCAACTCACAAGAGCCAAAACATGTGAAAAATGCAAATCACATCAAAAATGCTGATTGAGAATGCTTCATTTCCGAAAAACTTACCCGAGAATCGGTATAAAAGTTCCAAATATTCAAATTTCAAGTGCCAAGGCGTTTTAGCCTAAGCCTAAAATAAAGAAGCAAATAACAGGAATTTGTATTTTATTATATCATTTTATACTTTCTAGAGGTCAAGACACCTCAAAAAATATTTCTAACATGCTTAGAATTGATGCGCAAGTCAGAAAATGCCAAAAAAGTCAAAAAATAGTGGCCCCCCCCCCACCAACATAGCGCCAAAAAATCAAATAAAAGTAATCAAAATGAGAAAAAAATACTCAAATTCAAGAAAAGTAAATAAAATCAATGATTTTTAACGGAAAAAGAACGATTTATATAAAAAAAAAGCCGGGAGGAGAACTAGGAGGAAATGACTGAAAAATAGGGGAAACAAAGGGAAAACACAGTGAGATGGAATAGCAAAAGAGGTAACGAATTCAGAAATAAAAGGAAATTCAAAGAAAAAAAAAACAAATTATTCCATTTGTTTCTTGGATTCTTCCTCCTGGCTTGCCGTATAGGAGGCCTTGTTCTTCTCATTGACACCTTCCACGTTTCTCGCCATCTCCACAGCCAGGTAGATGATCTGGAAAAATAGGAATTTGGCGATTTTTTGGGGCCAAAAATCGGAAAATTTGGTGAAAAATAGTGATTTTTCGAGCTCAAAATCGAATAAACTGCTGGAAGATTAGTCATTTTTTGAGTGAAAAATCGGAAAATCTGTTGGAAAATTAGTGATTTTTAGAGCCAAAAATAGAAAAAAACCGCTAAAAATAGTGGTTGTTTGAGTCAAAAATAGAAGAAAATGATAAAAAAAATTAGTGATTCTTAAAGTCAAAAATCCAAAAAATCGGTGAGAAAAAGGGATTTTTCGAGCCAAAAATCGAAAAAAGCAATGAAAATTACTGTTTTGAGCCGAAAATAGGTAATTTTGGTGAAAAATTAGTGCATTTTCGAGCCAAAAATCGAAAGAAGCAATGAAAAATCAGTGCTTTTTTGAGCTAAAAATTGGAAAATCCGGTGGAAAATAGTGATTTCTCGAGCTAAAAACGGAAAAATCGATGGAAAATTAGTGAACTTTTGAGCCGAAGATCGAAGAATTTGCCGATTTTTCGAGCCAAAAATACCTTTGGCACCACAACAGTGTTCTCCGGGCTGTATGCTTTCGCAGCATGACACCTCATAAGCGTTCCCATCGAATAATCCTCCACAATCTCCTTGAACTGCTCACAGAACTCTCGCCACGTCTCCTTGGCTCCGTTGTCCTTCACAAGACTCGTTGTGACCTCCTCAACGTTCAAATCGGGGAACGATTTTCGGAATTCCGCGAGGATCAAGTCCTGATGCTTGTTGAGGCGGAGGACTCTGGTATCGCATCGAGTGATGAGATTCATGTGAACTTCGGCTCTCTCTCCGGCTTTGATGGCCCAAGCCATTTCGATTGACTCGTCGTTCACGTACTTGTCAGCATCTCCGTAGTCAACTTCAGTGTCGAGAGCTGTCATTTTGTGTGATTTACCTGAAAATTTGGAAATCCCACTAAAACATCAGTCAGAAAACGCCATTTATGCACTAAACCGAAAAAAAATGGTCCCGAAATTTTTATATGCCAAAATACACCAAAAATTGATTTTTACAGTTGAAAAACTACTCAAATTTTGTAAATATGTCCTTTCTTACTGATTTAATCAACTTTTACTTTGCAATTTGTTTTGATAAATGAAAAATCAATTTTCCAAATTTTCAGCACACAAAATTTGAATTTCCACCTATTTTCAGCATTTAAAGTGCACCTAAATCAACGAAAAGCCCTAATTGTTAGCTATTTGTCGAAAATTTAAGCAAAAATTACCGAAAAATCTCTGAAAAACTAGAAAAAACCGCTGAAAATCGCCGAAGAAATTCGAATCACGAGCGCTCCGCCCCTTTTGGCAAGGTGCGGCGCGCGGTTTCTGCAACCCCGCCGCATGGGGTTGGGGAATCTTGGAATTAATTTTAGAGGTGAAAAAAAGCGAAAATAAACAGAAATTATTGGAGAAAAACAACAGAAATCAACAAAAAATCAACAGAAAACATAATTATCCTCAATCTTCCTCCCAATTCCCCTCCAATCGACTCCGAATATTCATTCCGTGTAAAGCAGCCAAAGCGGCCACCTGCTCCGCCATTCTCAGGTTCGGCTGACCGATTCCCGACCGGAATTTCTTATCACCAATGATAGCAGTCGACACGAATCGTTTATCCTCTCTTTTAACCTGAAAAGAAATTATAAAAATCGGGAATTATGTGGTCCTACCGTCTCATACGTGGCTTTTGGCGTCTTCGTCTCGACGAGGTAGTCATGCAGGACCATTTTGGGTGTCGGGGAGAAGCCGACAGAGTTTTTCAGGCGTTTTCTGGAAGAAAAAATTGATTTTTGATGTTAAAAACTGAAAAAATGCCGGTTCTTACAGCGGAAATGAGACTTCAATATTATAAACGCCATCATCATCCACTCTAGCGCGTTTCTTGCTCTGCTTCCGCTTTCGATCATCTCGCCATTTCTGAAAAATTGAAAAAATCTGATTTATATTGGAGAATTGACATTTTCGATGATAAAAGACTGAATTTTATGAAAAAAAAGTCTCTGAAAATCATATTTTTTGCAATTTCAGGGATGTTCGGAATGTCGGAAATCCCAAATTTTCCGATTTTTAAAAATCTCGGAAATTCGAGATTTTCCGGTTTTAAAAATTTCGGAATTTCAGAAATTTTAAATTTTGCGATTTTGAAAAAATCAGGATTACGGAATTTCGGGATTCTGGAATTTCGGAAATTCGAAATTTTCCGATTTTCGAAATTTGCGAAATTTTCAGAAATTCGAAATTTCGCGATTTTGAAAAATTAGGAATTCCGTTCCGAACATCCTTCCTGATGCAATTTGACGAATAAAAATCCTCGAAAATTTCAAAATATTGGAAAATTGACATTTTGAATGATAAAAAACTGAATTTTATGAAAAAAAAAACAGAAAATCGATTTTTCAGAAATTTCGAATCTTTAAAAATCTGAAATTTCTGGAAAAAAATCGATAAATTTCCCCGTACATTATAACAATCTTCCATTTTGAACGCTTTACAAATCTGCAGAACACTTCCAGCTGCCACCAGTGCCTTGCCACGTGGATCGTGCTCCTGATCACCGCCCAATATCCTCTGTACCACATACTTTGTCATGGTATAGCACTCATCGTACTGACAAGCGAACTCTAGAAAATTCTCGATATCCTTATACTTGTCTAGAACGCCTTCCGAGCGGAAAATCGATGGGGTGGAGAGGGCTTTCCGAGCAATCATGATACTAGAAGTGCCTGCTGCATCTCGCCACTTTTCGATGTCTTCGTATCGCTCGATTTCGCCGGAAAATCCGCTGAAAATTGGGGAAAAAATTAGATACTTTAGGTTTTTTTGATAATAATTTTTGGAAAACTAGGTTTTTTAGCATCAAAATGTATAGAAAAACATCTAGATTCACATAGAAACACGGAGAAAGGCCTGAAAAATTCGAAATTTCGTTATTTCTTGATCATTTTGGACCATTTCATATTATTTTTCCGACTATTTTGGATCGTTTTCAGACAATTTTGGGCCTTTTTTGGACCAAAAAATGTGGAAAATCTTGAAAAATCACGAAATTTCGTTATTTTTTATCATTTTCGGACTGTTTTGGACCGTTTTTCGACCAAAAAACTTATAAAATATCGAAAAAATCGCTTTTTTTGAATTACCACCAAATTGGAAATTCCGAAAAATTAACGATTTTTTGCAAATTATTTTTTCAAAAATCAAAAAAAAAATATATTTCCGCTGAAAATTCGACAATTTTTGGTCATTTTTCGACGATTTTCAGCTGATTTTTAGCTAAAAAATCTCATTTTCATGAATTTTTCATTATTTTTGGTTCATTTTGACTAATTTGAAAAAATTAGATTTAGAGGAAAAATTGAATTTTTTGCGATTTTTTGCTAAATTTTTAGACCTTTTCAGGTTTTTCAGCTATTTTTGAAGATTTTTTTTCGATTTTTCCTGATTTTTTGACTGAAATTTGATGGAAGATTACTGTAGAAACCCTTCTCTTTTGTAGTTTTTTTCTGCACTTTCTGCGCAAAACACTACAAAATAGAAGGTTTTCTACAGCAATCTACAGTAATCTTCCATTGGCGGAAATTTAAAAAAACGATTTTTCGAGATTTCGCAAGTTTTTTGGTCCAAAAAAAGGCCCAAAATGATAAAAAATAACGAAATTCCGAATTTTTCAAGTTTTTTACTGTGTTGCTATATGAATTTACATGTTTTTCCTTCAATTTTTCGAATTTTTTAAACGATTTCCTTCATTTTTACGCACTTCGCAATAATGGGAATACTCTGAATCGTCTTCACCACCTCTCGAATCTCCTCATATCGACACCGATCCGGTTGCCGCTCATCCCTCCGCCTCCCATGCACTCCCAACGCCACGACACCACATTTCTCAATCTCCCGGACCAGTTTCAGAGTGTCTTCTGGATTATCCAACACCCTGATTTTACAAGTCACTGGGACTTTAGCAGCCGCTTTTAGTGCTGTCAGAATTCCCACGATTTTTTCAGTTTGGGTCAATAACGCGGCGCCCATTCCGCAATGAATGGAAAATGGCTTTGGGCAGCCCATATTCACATCGATGCCTGCCACGTCATCACCTCTGGAACATTCTAGAATATTTTTCAGGCCTAAAATGGGGGTTTCTACACAATTTCAGCGATTTTCGCTGCCTTTTCCCCGGAATTCGTGCCAATTTGCAGAATACACTTTCCCTTCTCCTCTGGCGCCAAACGAAGGATTATATCATCCCCATTTCGATAATCGATAGTTCCCAAGGCTTCTAAAAGTGGAGATATATATCTGTTAGTCCGGATATCTTACCATTTACCACTCTCGTAGCCTCTATCAGCTTCTTATCCACAATTTCTTCGGTATACACCAAATCCGCGCCATATTTGAGGCATAGAAGACGCAGAGGTGTTCTCCCTGCACGCACCATTGGTGCTAAAATCTTCTTTTTGGTGTATAACTCCGACATTTTTTCAGATTTTCAATACCTGAAAAAATCATTTCAATAAAGTGATAAAAAATTTATATCTTAGCTCCTAGAAGCCCCTGGAAATTGCCAGGGTACTTAGAAGACGTCCCATAATTTTTTCTACTAGCTTCTATTTCAAAAATTCTAAAAATCTTCAGAAAAAACTGCTTCTTTATCGAATTTATCGAAAAATCACAACAAATAAAAACATCTTAATGAGCTCCGCAATCGCGCCCCATCGCACTTTTTAAAAACAGCATGCGAAACGAGGAGACGGTGCGTTCCCTCGTGCTGAATCGATCCGGAAAGCATTGACTACACGTTATTATATGCATATTCTCTAAAATTCACAACAAATTCACAAAAACATGCATCCCAGACATCGCTCCTATAAAGAGGACTATGATAAAATAGTAGGGGAAATTTGTAGTTTGTAGTTTAAGTTGAAAAAATTACAGTTTTCCGCATCTGAAATGAATGAGCAGTTGAGAGAGCATTATCCACATGTTAGGTACAGATCTCATGTGAGTCCCCAGAATCTAGGAATCTAGAAAAATTTACAAAATTTTTTTTAATTATAAAAAGTTCAGGATGTTCATTTGCCTCGAAGATGGGATATCAATCAATCATCTACCTATCTGGAATTGTCTAAAAATGGATTACAAGTCTCTTTTAAATGTGAGTTTTTATTTTTTTTTTCTTGATTTTATTCTGCTTTCCTTCAACTCTACATTATAAGAAAAAGTTTCGAATCTTTGAAAAATTATACATTTTTATACCTCCTGAAAGCCTGGAATTTGGGCTTTCAGAATATCTATTAGGATTTTTTCTAGCAGTTTTAGTTTTCTAGAAACATCCTTTTCAATTTAGCTACCTCATCGTAAACTAGGCACTCTCCCTCTCTTCCCTCTCTAGCTCTCTCTCTCTCATTTCCCGGCTATTTCATTATGCCATGGCGCCGCCTCATTGAAATTACGCCGCGTGGTGTAGTGCTAGGGCTGTAGGCTCCCGCGCGAGCCACCGCAAGTTCAACCCCCACTCCCTCCCAATCCTTTTTATTTCTTTTTCGATTCCAGCTGTGCCCCTCCAAGGCGACAAGGACATCTCAGGAGTGATCCGTAGCGATTGCTGCATTCCCGCCTGCTTCGGAACCTACTATTTCGAGGTCACCATTCTCCATTGCGAGGGAAAGAACGGATGTATGGGTGTTGGGCTGAGTAAAGCGAATGGGGACCTGACTAGAATGCCCGGATGGGATCCCCATTGTTATGGATACCATGGGGATGATGGGAACTTTTTTAATGCTTGTGGTCATGGGAAGTCTTATGGACCAAGATTCGGGAAACATGATGTCATTGGATGTGGGATTGATACAAATCTGAATATCGTGTTTTTCACCAAAGATGGAGAGTTACTAGGAATTGCTCATGAAGGAAAACCTGGAGAAATGGAGAACTTGTATCCTACAGTAGGATTAAGGACTCCCGGGGAGAAGCTGTACGCCAATTTCGGTCAATATCCATTTAAATTCGATTTGGACGACTATAGACAGGTTTGAAACAAAGAAAAAGGTCATATAGTCATTCTAGAAGTGTTCAGATTCTGAATAATCGAAAAGTCCGGATGATTGAAAACATCAAAGTGCCCTCAAACTTTGGAAAACATATGGAACGAGTTGTCGCTTCGTTCCTAGGGTCTTGTGGAGCATTGGAGACGTTGAAAGTGTTTGAGAAACACGCGAATTTGAAGAAACCAGTGGATTATGAGTTTTTGAGAAAGAGAAAAGGTATTTTTTCGATTAATTTGGTCATTTTAGTTCTCTAATAGAGTGGCACCCAAGCATCAACCTTGAGCCTTTATATCTCGATTCCCGTATAAGATATCAAAAAATTGTCAACTGATAAAATAAATGTAGCTGATATTATTATAAATCTTTTGGGGGGGGAGAGAGCATTACGTTATAGCGGTTATGGTAGCCACCTAGAGCTACTGTATTACTAATGAAGTGTATTGATTTTTATATGACATTGTAGACCTGAAAAAGAGCTTCAAAACGACATAAAAAACTAAACATCTCAAATTCGTAAAAAAAAGACGATTAAAGTATCGCACACGGTTCATGCCGCCTAGAGAAGGCTGCCTTAACTTTGAGATGATTTATCTCACTTCTTGTTAAAGATATCAAAAAGTGGCCAGCTGATGAAATGTTTATCATAATATCAGCAACATTTTATCAGTTGACAACGTTCTAATAGCATTCACAGGAAGCGAGATAAATCAACACAAAGTTAGACACCCTTCTCTAGGTGGTGGCCCGAGCCGTATGCGATACTTTAATCGCTTGTACGCGTTTTTTTTCAAACTCCAACTTTTTAGTTTTTATGAAGTTTTGTAGCTCTTTTCAAGGTCTACAAAATGATATAAAAATCAATATATTTTAGTAATGATACAGTAGCTCTAGATGGTCACTATAACAGGATGCCACCCCCTTTATCGCCAACTTTGAGCTTATATATCTCGGTTCCTGTAAGAGATATCAAGAAGTTCTTAACTGATAAAATGTTTATGATACTGTAAGCAACATTTTGCTAGTTGACCACTTTTTTATATCTCTAAAATGAACCGAGATATATGCGCTAAAAAGGGCGGTACTCTATTAGAGCCTTTATTTGAGTCACATTATATTTCTCTTTTTTCCAGAAATCTCCCAAATGGTTGTCCGAGCTACAAATGGTGCTGGAATTCAAACAAAACTTGAGGAATATTTTCCTGGGTGTCTTGAAAATGAGTATAAGGTTCAACTTCTACTCCTATGCCTTCGATACATCGATCTAGCACTAACAATTGAAAATGTGCCTGCTAGCTTTGGAGCAATCAAAGATGGACCAAGTATATCGAAGCCGGCTCCGGCACCCCAACCGAAAAAGGGACCTTCGACTTCAGGCAAATCAGGCAAAAGAAATAAGAAGGGACAGCAAAAATATGTGGATCTAAAGACTGAGGAGCAATTGAATGAGGAGGCTGTGTTGGATTTTGCGAAAATTGATAAATTCTATGATGATGAGGACACTGGGGAGCAAATGCTGGAAGTTGGTGAGTTCGAAAAAAGAGGAAAAAGAAGTTAAAGTCAAAAGGAATTGAACCAGGGAGCTTCGGATTCAAAAGCAAGCGCGTTAGCCAGTAAGCCAAGCGCGCAGATTTGAACCTTTGGTGTGGTGGACAATGATAACATGGCGCGGGCGCAGTGGCGTGAGAGGCGAGGTGGATGCGTCGCTTCTGGAAAGATTACGGTGGCGTAACTCCTCAGGACTCGATTTTCAGAAAAAAGTGTTTACTACAAAAATGAAGCTCTATTTTTGTTCAGTATATCCTAAAATTTTCAAACAGATCAAAACAGTTTTAAACACTTTCGTAACCACTTCTATTAAGGATAACCCATTTTCAGATGGTTTCTCAATATCCCGCCGTATGTACGTTGAACTTTACGCATCTGGAGAGTTTCAAAAACTCAGCTACATTATGCGACTGGGTCGTGAAATTGACCGTATCGCATTAGCCGTTGAAGACGAGCTGAGCAATAAGGATCGTCAGATTTTGGAGGATTCACTTCTCTCGATTGTCAAGCAGAATGCACCTGGAACGTATCCATTGAAGGCGAAAGATAGGCGGTACATTTCGAATTGTATCGTGGAGATGATCAATAATTATAAAGATCCAAATGTGTTTGAAGAGAAGGATGTAGAAGAGGAAATGGAGCCGGAACCTGTGGAAGAGACGAAGCCGGGTGAGTACCGTACAACTTTGAGCGCGATTGCCTCGGTTCCTGTAAGAGATATCAAGAATGTGTCAACTGATAAACAATTGGTGATATTATGATAAACATTTTATCAGTTGAGCACTTTTTGATACCTTCAACAGGAACTGAGATATATGGGCTCAAAGTTGACGGTTTGGGTGGCCTTCTATGAGATCCTAGACAAGATCCTAACAAGATCCTAGCAAGTTACAGCTCCCAGAAACTTCTGAAAAATATTTTGTATTATCAAATTTTTTAGCCAGTGTCCCATTGGATCCAAAGAACTTCTATACAAGAACCTATGGACCATTACGACAGGCAACTGATCCACCAGAACGTCAACCAATCCAAGCACCAATTGATATTAGAAGAGAACAGACTATGGCGGAATTAAGAGAAACATTGAGAGAGGAAGAATTGAAGAGACAACCCAAAAAGGTTTATTCGGAGCTACGTGGAATGTTCATGGCTTGGCAGGGACTGCATCATGAGATGGCAGAGTTGGGAACACCTGGAGCCGCTATCTATTTTATGAGACATGTGGTGAGGGATTTGGGATCAACAGAATACAGTACCATTTGTCTAGGAGTCTTTTTTGGTCCATTTTGTAAAAAAAAAAGATTAAAATACAAACAAAAAGATAAAAATGTAGCTCAAACCCACGTGGATTGACTTGGAATCGGAAAAAAAAATAATTAAACTTCAGATTTTTCCAAGTCCCCTTTGGAACTTTCTGAAATCTGACTTGAAATTCGATTTTCACTCATTCAGCGCTTCAAAATGATACCAAACTCGACTATTTTCCGTGGATTTTGAGAATTTCGGGTTACTGTAGGGTTACTCATTTCGTGGGGAGACCCAGAATTTCGATTTTCAGATAAACATAGCTTGTTTATACTTATTTTGAAGCTCTCGACAAGCTGAAAACGTCTTTGGCGTTCAAAATGCTCAAAAATGCATTTTTACGAAAATTTAGGGGAAAACTAGAAATCAAACACTCGATTTTTCGAATTTGGTCCCACCTCTGAAAAATACGTTTTCGATCACTTTGAAAGTTCTGGAGAATGTAAAACAGACCTAGATTGAAAATTTTGCATTTACATAACTTTTTGAAAATTCCTAGTTTTTCAGATATTTGCAGATTTCTAAGACACACCTTTGAAAAATCGAGTTTTCGTTTTTTTTTCTAACAAATCGATTTTTGAGTATTATAAAACCCAGAATCATTTTCAGCTTGCCAAGAGCTTTAAAATGAGCATAAACACGACATATTTATCTTGAAATCGAAATATGCTGGGTCCCACCACGAAATCCAGCTACAGTAACCTGAAATTCTCAAAATCAACGGAAAGTAGTCGTGTTTGATATCATTTTGAAGCCCTAAATGAGTTGAGATTGAATTTGGAGGCAGATTTTCTAAGTTTCAAGGAAAAAGTTGAAAAAAACTGAAATTAAATTTTTAAAAAATTTTTTGAAAAAATTTTTTTCGAGTTTTTTTTTGATTTCAAGCCATTACATCTAGTTTTGAACTATATTTTTTGCATTTTTTGGGTCTGCAAGGCTCCTGAAAAAGATAAAAATGACCAAAAATCAACTAAAAAATCTAATATTTTGGGATTTTCAGACACTGAACAAGTCAAAATTCTCCGCGAATCCTCCAGTTTATTCCGATGAGCCTATGGAAATGGGAGATGATGAAGAGAATGAGGACGAGGAGGAAGAGTATAGAGAAATGGATTAAACACCAAATTTCAATTTTTAAGATTTCAATTTTCCCATTTTTTGCCATTTTCTAGAACATTTCTAGGTCACCAATATATTTTTTTTCTGCATTTTTGTAAATTTTCGCATGCTACTGTACATATAAAATACGCTTTTTGCCTTATTTCTTGCAATAAATACCTCATTTTCTCTAATCTACAGTAATCTAGCTTTAGCAATTTGAATTCTAAAAATACAGTAATCCACAAAGATACCCGGAAGGCAAGCAATCTACAGTAATCCAGCTATAGCAATTCGAAATCTAGAACTACAGTAAATATTGATCTGAAAACGTGGAAAATCAAATTTTGGCTTTAAAAAATCCAACACAGTTTTAAAAACTTTCAAAAAATGAATATTATTTTTCAACAAAAATTTTGCTAAAACTCGGCATCGTTATTATAGAGCGATGTCATCCGCTTCCGGAAGTAAAGAGAGTAAAGACAAGTGGGTCGATTATCAATTTTCTGATAGTCTTCCTCCTTCAAAAACGCTTCTGAACGCTAGAGGCGCCGCCTTTATCACAACCCTACGCGCTCCCTTCCCTATTTGGCTCGCGTGGTGTAGTGGCTAAGCGCCTAGCTTTTGAAACTTCGCCTCCCGGGTTCGATTCTTTTTGTGGTTAAAGACTTTTTGCTTCTTTGCAACGGACTTTAAACCTATTCTAAACTCTTTCTACACCGTTTTTCAAAAAATTTTATTCCAGAAAAAAGAAAAATACAGTGAACAAGAACTCGAAAATGAATCAAGTTGATGAATCGAGCAGAAAGAAGTTAACCGGAAGTGTGGAAATGTCGAAAAAGGACGAGACCTACGAGAAAGCCAAAGTGGCAATAAAGACAACAATCGGATGGATGACACAGACTCAATCCAAACCTGGCGGTCTTTTGGGACATTTCAAAGCGGCCACTTTCGAGAGAAACCCACCGGAAAATCCGAAATGTTACGCGTTTCAAGCGAATAGAGCTAAGAATCGAAATCCCGATTTTCCACTGAACGATCATTCAAGAGTAAGGCTGAAAGTTGAGGATGAATCTGAAAATAACTACATAAATGCAACCAATATCTCCTGTCCACCATGTGATCGCAAATGGATTGTTTCTCAACACCCCATGGAGAAGTTTTATGAAGACTTTTGGAGAATGGTATTAGTTTTTAATTTTAATCAATTTTTGGTTTTCTTGCTTTCCTGAATCCCCCCTCCCCCTAGCTTCCTGAAAACAGCGCGGCGACAGCACATTCATAACCTACTTCCGCGCTGTCGGAGTAAACTGTCCCCCGTGGTGTAGTGGCGAAGAGCCTTGTTTTGTAAACTCCCCATCCGTGGGTTCGATTCCACTCGGCTCCAATCCTTTTTTGCATCTTTTTTAAAGATTTTCTACCACGAAATCGACGTCATCTTCGCCATTTTCTCGCCCGATGAGCAACTTCCCACTTATTTTCCCACCGAGCAAGGAAAATTCGCTAATCACGGACAATTCTTCGTGCACTGCTGGAAAATGACACCGCCGTCCGGAAAGTATCATGCTACAAACTACACAATTGAAGTTCTGCCAAATGGTTGTTCGAACGCTCGTTATGTCACCATTTTACACTATCCGCACTGGCCGAAAGGATACGTGGCACCCAGTGCGAAAGTTGTGCTGAAAGGGATTCAGGTGGGGGATTTTTCCTACAAATTTGATATCATTAGAATCGTCGCGGCTTGAAAAAATCAGAAAATCACATTTCCAGGCCCTAGAACCAGCTGAAAAATTGACAAAAAGCAAATGTCTGGTGCACTCGGCAGAAGGAATCAATCGTGCGATGAGCTTCGTCATGGTGGATTACGTTGTGGAATTGATGTTCCGGAATAATACTGTAGATGTAAGAATCCCGTCTGTCTGTGTGTCCAGGTGTCCATCATTTCCAGGTTATCGAACTCATCACCCAACTTCGAAGCCAACGTCGCGGCGCGTTTCAGAACCGCATGTTCTGCGTCTACGCTCTCTACGTGGCAATTGACTATGTCAAAATTCGACTGACAAAGTTCCAGAATGCTCCAGAAGTTCTGGCGGAGATTAATAGTTTGCAGAAGGCGATGAAGAAGGAATTCTCTGGAATTATTCCAAAAGAGACGGGCGGAACATCGAAGAAGGGGGCGACGATTGAGGCGACTGTGGAATGATTTGGATTTGAACTTTTTTTAGTGGAGAATAAACTATTTTTTCAGAAATTTTTTTTTTCAATTTTTTAAAATTAAAAAAAAATGTTTATTTATTTTTACATGTTTTCAGCTAAAATTTCAGCTAAAAATGTATTTTTTAGTATATAATTTTTTTCTGACTCATTCCACCCACAAAATCATTTGGTGAATCACTTCTAAAGATTCTAAATTCTGAATCATCCCTCCTCCCATTAAATCCGCAAAACCCAATTCCCCTGCCGCACGCCTTGCGAAACTGCGCGCGGCGCGTTGCAATCCGCTAGCTCCGCCCCCTTTTCTCCAATTTCCAGCCACCAATTTGAACGGATTTTATCGCGAAGAAAAAAGCAAAAAAAACCATTTCCGAGCCAATTTTTTTGATTTTTTTGAATTTTTGCAAATTTTCTATCGAAAATTATCGCCTTAATTATTTATTTATCTCTAATTAATTGTACTGTCAAATTATCGATTTTTATTGCAGGCAATGACCGAAACAGCAAATGCCACGGCAGATAAGATAAAAACGATTCGAGCCTACTACAAACTGTGTCAGAAGCCCGAAAATCGGGGAATCGTGCTGAAAGTGAGAATTTTCGAAATTTTCCGATTTTTAAAAATTCTTCGGACTTTTAGAAATTTAAAATATTCCAATTTTGAAATTGTTTGAAAAAAATTTTTCAGGACAAAACATTCTTCAACACACTCCCGACACTTCTCAAGGACGACAGTTCTGATGTGATCAGATACACTGTGAAGATCCTGGTCCTGCTCACCGAGCAGTCTGACAACATTGAGCAACTCTTGAAATCCACAGAACTCCTGCCATCGCTCACCGACGCGTGCGAGAATATCACGAATCCCAGTGTCAACTACAACTTGGTCCTAGTCTCGTCGCGTATTCGCGCCGTTAAGAATTCTCTAGAAGCGAGACGGGCGGAGCAGAATGAGCCATTGGCTGATGCAGTGAAAGAGTTGGATAAGGGAGGAGGTACCCTGCATCGCAAGTTCGTTGCCCGCAAATCAAAGCAGATTATCATGGAATTCGATGTAGACGAATTCGATGAGGCTAAAAAGCGAGACGTGGAGAGGAGTCTTCTGAAGAAGAAGGGTGTGATCAGTGTCTATATAACAGAATCCCCTGTCCCACGCGCCGTCCTCCGCACGATTCCTTCTCTAGAAGCCAAAGAGATCGCTCTAGTGGTGTTTGCCGCTGGTTTTGAGTATGTTGCTCAAATCGTCAAAATGCATGGAGGAGGAGGCGAGGAGGAGAAATTCGAGATGTACGCTTCGGAAGCGCAGAATTCAAAAATAGGCGGTGCTGTCGCTTCTGGAGACTATCCGGAGTACTTGGATGACGATGTGCTCCACGTGGATCCGGCGAGCTGTGTGATAACCAATGAGATGGCTGCTCATGGAGCTCAGGAGAACGGCTGGTTCAGCTCGATAACTTCCTTTGTTAAAACTTCGTTTTGGTGAAAAAACAAGGCTTAAAATTATCTTAAAGGCTTAAGATGAATGTATTAAAGTGTTTTTAATAGCTGGAATCGTTAAAATTGTTCATTTTTGACCTAAATTAGTCAAATTTGAAGCTATTTTCTCTATTCCAGCTATTCCCGTCCCCCCTCTTACGGTTTCCCCCATAATTTCTTTGTTATCTCCTTTTCTTGTTCATCATCTCATTTCTTTTTTTTTCTATCTCGCTCGTTCTCGAGATCTCATTCTATAAATGGATTTTTCCTCCTATTTTTTATAGCTTTTCACTATTTTTGGATGTTTTTATCGCTGTTTTCCTCAGCTTTTGTACCTTTTTAAACCCCCAATTTTGGAATTTTTCAATGATTTTTCAGTGGTAACTGTTGCTTCTGGTGAAAGATGATGATTCATCAAACGACCAACTCGTACTCGATGTACAGCGGTAAGATTGATTTGTTTCAATTTAGACGCCTAAAATGTGTAGAAAACGATGAAAAAATCTCGGAAAACCATGAAAATTCGCTTAAAAAAGCGAAAAATCTAAGTTTTCGTCTTCTGGAAACTTCTGAAAAATTGAAAAAATTTCAATTTTCAGTGATTTTACAAAAAATTCGGCCTCTAAGACCACTTTTAGGCGCTGAAAAATTGATTTTTAGGTTTTTAACAAGCTAAAATGGACCCCATTTGACTCGAATACGCAATTTCAAGCGGTTTTTTTTCGGAAAAATTCCATTTTTGAAGGGAATTTTCTACGATTTTTTTGCAAAATTTTTAGACCTTTTTTGGTTTTTCAGCTATTTTTGAAGATTCGTTTTTCGATTTTTCCGATTTTTTTGTCTGAAAATTGATAGTGCGGTGTTCCGGATTACTGTAGGTTACTGTAGAAAACTTGTTTCTTTTAGTTTTTTTAATTTGCATTTTGACGTAATTTTGTTTGCAAAAGAAAACTACAGAAGTAAAATTCGTTTTCTATAGTAATCTACAGTAATCCTCATGAACACCGATCCATGACTTTTCAGACGAAAAATCGAAAAAGAATCTTCAAAAATGCCTGAAAACCCTAAAAAGGTCTAAAAATTCTGCAAAAAATCAAATGAAGCCCCTATTTTTCTCTAGAAAACCGCTGATTTTTCTCTCTGTTTTTGCGGAAATTCGGAGAAGATTCCAGAACTTTCTAGAAGTAAATCACCCAAAAATCTAATGAGAAATACATTCTTCTATCGACAAATCTCCAAAATTCACTCAAAAAAGCCGTCTTTCAGACCATGAAGTCGAAACCCGCACTTCTCGGATTCGCGCGGCGATGTTCCCCGATTGGACACCTCCAACCTCCGCCGCAGAGGCCACAACCTCCCTAAACTCCTCCTCTTCCATCGTGGAACTGATGCATATGCCAACTCAACAACTCAAACAATCCGTTATGGATCTTCTGACCTACGAGGGATCCAACGACATGTCCGAATTCTCTCTTCCGGATCTTGTGAAGCTCATGAACGATCATGACGAATCGGTGGTGGCTCGTGCGGTCCACAGAGCCTATATGCTCTCCAGAGAGGATCCCAACTTCTTCAACACCCCTGGATTCGATCATCGTGCTTTTGTGGAGGCCTTGATGGCGGCGTCGAAGTAGGGTTCTTTGAGAATTCGATGTCAAAAAATACAAATTCCAGCTCATCCAATGTGAACGTCCGTCGCAACGCCATCGGAGCTCTCTCCCATATGTCTGAGCAACGTGGAGGTCCCCTCTTGATCTTCCGAAGTGGAGGACTGGCAGCCATCATCCGAATGCTCTATGATCCTCTGGAGAGCGTCTATCACTACGCCGTCACCACCCTTCGCAATCTTCTGATGCACGTCTCCGAGTCTCGCGGGCAAGCTAGAGCTCTCAACGCCGTGGAGGCTCTCGTCCCACATCTCCATAAGACCAATCCGAAGCTTCTTGCCCAGGTGGCTGATGCTCTCTACTTCCTGCTCATTGACGATGCGCAGGCCAAGATCTCGTTCCTGTCGCTTTTGGGACCTCAGTTATTGGTTACCATTCTCAAGGAGCACTCGGATCATCGGAAACTGGTGTACACGGTGGTTCGATGCATTCGATCGTTGTCGGTGTGTCCCAGCAATAAGCCAGCGTTGATTAGTTTGGGTAAGGCTTCGTTAAAATCAGTTTTATACAGTACCGGTCGATGAGACCTACAAAAACATATTTCTCATGTGGATTTCCGGTCATTTTGACCATTTTATGTACTTTTTCATGATTTTCGGATCATTTTTCGTGAATTTTATACCATTTTTCATGAATTTTATACTATTTTTCGTGAATTTTATACCATTTTTCATGAATTTTGGACCATTTTTCATGAATTTTGGACCATTTTTCATGAATTTTATACCATTTTTCATGAATTTTGGACCATTTTTCATGAATTTTGGACCATTTTTCATGAATTTGGAACCAATTTCTGTGACTTTTGGATCATTCTTCATGAATTTTGGACCATTTTTCATGATTTTTAAACTGTTTTTCATGATTTTCGGATCATTTTCTATGGATTTGAGACCAATTTCTATGAATTTTGGATCATTTTTTATGATTTTCGGATCATTTTTCATGATTTTCGGATCATTTTTCGTGAATTTTGGACCATTTTTCATGAATTTCGTCTTTTCTCTCATGAAATTAGGACCATTTTTCAGGATTTCTCACCATATTTTGTGATTTTTAGACCTTTTTTCATACATTTTGGACCATTTTTCGTGAATTTTGGACCATTTTTCATGAATTTCGTCTTTTCTCTCATGAAATTAGGACCATTTTTCAGGATTTCTCACCATATTTTGTGATTTTTAGACCTTTTTTCATACATTTTGGACCATTTTTCATGAATTTTGGACCATTTTTCAAGATTTTATACCATTTTCCATAAATTGTGGACTATTTTTCATGAATTTAGATCATTTTTTCAGGAATTTGCTCTTCTGTCATGCTTTCGGGGCTTTTTCCTCTAACTTTGTAAAATTTAGCTTCAAATTCGATCTTAACTCATTTAGGGCTTCAAAATGATACCAAACTCGACGATTTTCTGTTGATTTTGAGAGTTTCGGGTTACTGTAGCTGGATTTCGTGGTGAGACCCGAGAATTTTGATTTTTGAAGTTCTCTGAATCGGTCAATTGTTAGAATTCTTTGAATAATTATCCAGAATCTTCTAAGCTTTTCATTGAAGCTTTTACCCTAAATTTCATTTTCCAGGCTGCCTCCCTGCCCTCTACGCGGAACTCTGTGCCGCCAAGGACGAACGCTCTCAAACCGCGATCCTCGTTGCCATGCGAAACCTCTCCGACTCTGCTACCAACGAGGAGAATCTCACTCATTTGATAATCAAACTCACCGAAATCATTCGAATCGCCAACGACGGAATGACTGCCTGTGCGTGTGGAACACTATCCAATCTCACTTGCAACAACACTCGCAACAAGCAAACCGTCTGCTCTCACGGGGGAATCGACGCCCTGGTCACTGCGATTCGCCGCTTCCCAGAAGTCGAAGAGGTCACCGAGCCGGCTCTCTGCGCGTTGAGACACTGTACGGCACGTCACTCGTTCGCCGAGGAAGCCCAGAACGAGTTGAGGATCTGTCAAGCGTTTCCAGTGATCCTAGATCAACTAGCCACTCTGCGAACTCCAGTGATCAAGGCTGCCCTTGGAGTGATAAGAAATTGTGCTCTCCTTCAAGCCAATCTCATCGAGCTGACCCAGGAGCAAACTGGAGGTGGTCATACTGTAGTCTCACTGACCATGGACATCCTTCGTAGAGCTGTTACGGCCATCGATGAGAATCCGGATATAGCTGTGGACGGTGTTCCAATGTGGGGAGTCGTCGAGGGATCTGTCTCTGCTCTCCATCAGCTCGCCAATCATCCAGCTGTCGCTGCCGCCTGTTGTGATGATATCGGACAGGGGAGTCTGGAATGTCCACCATTCCTGGACCTCCTTCATCGTCTGTTGTCTCATCATCGGCTGTCTCAAATGGAGGATGAGGTGTTGGAGAGGGAGATTCTCGGACTATTATATCAGTTGAGCAAACGACCGGATGGTGCTCGTGCTGTGGAGAATACCGGAGTCACTCCGTTGCTCATCGAGTCACGTGGCAGTCAGTACAAGTCGGTGGTCACCTATGCGAATGGAGTGTTGAATAACTTGAAGCGAGGAGAGAATGTGGCCACGCATGGTGGAAGCGCAATGAATATGTCGAATGTGAGCTTGAAAAACTGAAATTTGAGATTTTTGAACGCTAAAAATTTCTGCAACGGTTAGAAAATCCGGTTTTTAACCGGGAATTTCATCTCTTTTGACTAGAAATTCGCCATTTTTTGGCTAAAATTTAGAAAAATTAGCGGGTTTTTTGCGATTTTCCGAGATAAAAATCTATTTTTTCGCAACATTTTTACACATTTTCAGGTTTTTCAGCTATTTTTGAATATTCTTTTTCGATTTTTCCGAGTTTTCTTGTCTGAAAATTGACAGAAGATTACTGTTGATTACTGTAGTTTTCTGCCAACACGATCAGCAGACAGATCTGCATTTTGACGTGATTGTGTTTGCAGAAAAAACTACAGTAATCTACAGTAATCTTCGCGAGCATCCCATCAAATTTCAGGCAAAAAATTCGGAAAAATCGAAAAAGAATTTTCAAAAATAGCTGAAAAACCTAAAAAGGTCTAAGAATTTTGCAAAAAATCAAGTTTTTTATTCTCGAAAAATCTCAAAAAATCGCAAATTTCTGGAGTTTTCAATATTGGCTAAAATTCAATTTTTCAAAGTTTTGCAAATTTTTGAACTTTCGGCTGGAAAAATACTATCAAAAAATTCAGTCAGTTCCCAAAAATTGCTAGAAATGAAGAGCCGGAAAAATCTCTGAAAATTGAGAATCGGTGAAAATCGTTGATCGAAAATTCCGAGAATTTCTGAAAATTTTGATTGGAAAAGGCAGTTTTTAAGCAGAAATTCCTCTTTTTTTCACTTGAAATTAGCCTTTTATCGGCTGAACAATATCATTAAATCATGCCAAAATGGGTCAGAAATGCTAAACTCAATTTTTTAAAATTCAATTTTGAGCGAAAATTTCAGCTCTTTTCACTCAAAATTTGCCATTTTTTGGCTCAAAATAATCATTAAAAATATGCCAAAATATGTCAAAAACCCCAAAAATCCACTAATTTTCAGTCCTACGAATACGAGATGTCCGGAGGAGCCAGCGATTGGCAACGTGATGGTCTTGAGCGAGAGCTATTCGCTGAAATGTATCCAACCAACGACGGCGGGCATTCGGAATCCATCAATGTCGCATTGAACAACTCCCAAATGCGCCCGAATCATAATTGGTACGATACCGATTTGTAATTATCTTCTAATTAATTAATTAATTATATATTTTTTCGAAAATTCAAGAATTCCCTATTTATCACCCTTGGGACCTATTCATTATATGTACTTGCATTCAACATTGGTGTTGGCTTTTTCTTCATTTTTAATAAAACTCCCTATTTACTCCAAATTCCTCCATTTTTTCTCGATTTTTCGATTTTCCTGGTTGATTTTTGACCTATTTTCTATCTTTTCATCCATTTTTCCAGTCTTAAAGTTTCAGATTTTCAACAAAATATCAATGTTCCAGATGAGTCTCTGTTTGGAGAAGCAGAAAATCCGATGCGGTATGCTCAGCCGTACCGCTCGTCACATTGCCATCGATGAGAATGGCGGAAAAATGGCGGTGGTGAGGAAATCGAGGTTTGTAAGAGGCTTAAAAAGCGGTTTTTGAGCCAAATTGATAATAAAAATAAATCAAAAAGTAGATTTTTGTCCTAGAAATCTCCAGAAATAGCGATTTTAGAAGAAATTTGATGTGAAAATTTGAAATTGGGACGAAAAACTAGGTTTATAACATCTGAAAATCGCTGAATTTTGAAAATTGACTTTTTAGACTGAAATTTGAAATTTTTGGCTGGAAATTGACTTTTTAGACTGAAATTTGAAATTTTTTGGCTGAAATTTGAAGATTTTAAGCTGAAATTTGACGATTTTTTGGATAAAATTCGATGATTTTTGGCTGAAATTTGAAATTTCTAACTGAAAATTTAGTTTTTGACTGTAAATTGAAAGTTGCCTGAAATTCTGGAATTCCCAATATTCAAAGATTCTCAAAAATTCTGAAATTCGGAGAATCTGAAAATCTGAAAATCGAAAATTCTAACAGTTTGAGGTTCTGACGTTTTGAAATACTGGAAGCTTAAGATTCTGAAATTATAAAATTCTGAAATTCTGAGATTCTGTTTTTTTGAGATTCTGGAATTCTGAAATTCTGAAAATTCTTAGATTCCTAAAAATCCCGAAATTCTGAATTTTCGAGATTCTGAAGTTTTGAAATTCTTGAAATTCGAAGATTCTGAAATTCTGAAATTCAAAAAATTCGGATATTATCTTTAGGTAGTTGTGGCACCATAGCGCTTGACTGAAAATTTTGGCTGAAAATCTTACATGTTTCATATTCCAGAACCCCGGACACCCACGACTACATTGAATTCTACAACATCCTGTCCAGCTGGCTAGCCGTTCCCGAGCTCACAGTCTGCCCCGAAAATGGCTCCATCGAGAATCTGCTCTTCGTGAAAAACGGAGAACTCATGACAGCCCATGCGAACGGTTCCGTCTGTTTCATCGATCCCCATAACAATGCGAGAGTCAAAAGAATCCAAATTTCCGCCTCGACCATCTGGGCAGCCTGTAAGCATGGAGACACCAGCATCGCGATGATTTCCCACTCGTCTGTCCTCTATTTCTTCGATGTCTCCTCCAAAATGATCACTTCTTCCATCTCATTGGGTGTTGAGAGTCGTCTATTCGATGTCTCCAGTAATGGAACCCTCGTTGCCATCGGATCAATCGATGGAGTGATTCTAGCAGGCGATGGGAAGGTTCAACAAACCCTAAAACTCGATAGACAGAACAGAAGAGATCCTACGATTGCCTGGTCGGTCCTCTTCGTAAAACCAAACCTCCTGGCTTGTGGAGACTCCCGGGGTACCGTAACCCTTTGGAATGTTCAAGATGGCTCTCTTACCCAAACCATCTCTAGCCTCCAGTCCCATATCCTGACTATGGTGGCTACAGAAGACGGCTCATTCCACGTGGCTGGTGTGGATCCAAGAATCACGGAACTCAAGGAGACAGATGGTCAATTTACGATTGTGAACAGAAGAAATGGGCCAGTGAGAGATGTGAGATCGATGGCAGTCTATGAGAATACGGTATACGCGGCTGGAGAGGATTTTGACATTTTTGTGGGGAAATCGGGATGTAGGAAACTGCTTTTGCATCAACAGAAGAATCTAATTGTGTCTGGAGATGTGGTGGCAAGTGCTGGCGAGAACTTTATCGATGTGTTCTGGAAGCAGCAAGGAGAGGATGAGCCGACGGAGGGGTCGAATGTCTTGCAGGTAGGGTAAGCTAGAAAATTCTGGAATTGCTCAATTCTTGCTTACTGAGCATTGAAATTGCTCAATTTCGAACCCCAGAGTCATCTTCAGCTCGCTGAGAGCTTCAAAATAAGTATAAACATGGCTCAAGCTAGTAACCCGAAATTCTCAAAATCAACGGAAAGTAGTCGAGTTTGATATCGTTTTGAAGTCCTAAAGGAGTGCAGAATGGATTTGAAGTCAGATTACTTGAAATGAGAGAAAAAAATAGCAGAAAACTTCAAATTTCTGAAAAGTGTCCAGAAATCATTAAAAGTAATCCAAAAAACACAAAGAAAAATCCCAGAATCCATGAAAATATGTCTGAAATTGATGAAAAATGCTGCCAAATCTATGAAAATGGTCCCAAATCCGTGAAAAGTGGTCTTAATTTGCTGGAAAATGGTCCGAAATTTGTGAAAAAATGGCCAAAAAAATATGGAATATACCGAAATTCGTGAAAAAGACCAAAAAACCATGAAACATATTCCAAAAATCATACAAACATGGCCCGGAATTCATTTAAAAATATCCAAAAATCATAAAAAATAGGCAAAATCCATTAATTGGTCCAAAATTCCTGAAAATTGCTCAATGTATAAACACGATTAACTTATCTCGAAATCGAAATTCTCGGGTCTCACCACGAAATCCAGCTACAGTAACCCGAAATTCTCAAATTCAACGGAAAATAGTCGTGTTTGGTATCATTTTGAAGCCCTAAATGAGCTTAAATCGAATTTAGATTCTAATTTTCGAGATTCGTACAAATGGCCTAAAATTTATGAAGAAACTGTCTGAAAGTCGTGAAAACTAGCCCAGATTTCCGGAAAAATGCACCAAAATTTATTGAATAAATCAGAAATTCATAAAAAATAGTTAAAAATTGCTGCAAAAACGGTCAAAGAATCATGAGAAATGCTCAAAACATCCTGACGAATGATCCCAAATTCGTAAGAACTAGTCCGAAATCGTTGAAAATGGTCCAAAACTCATTAAAAAAAAATCCCCAAAATCATGGGAAAAATCAAAATTCATGAAAAACGGCCCAAAATCATTGAAAAAATAGTCAGAAATCGCTGAGAATTATCCAAAAAGCATACAAAAATTGTCCTGAATCCAGAAAAAAAAAATGTCTAAAATTGATGAAAAATGGTCCAAAATCCCAGAAAAATTGTCCAAATGTTTGTAAAAACGATCCAAAATTCATTAAAATAGGTCCAGAATTTCTGGAAAATGATCATAAATTCATGAGAAATAGGCCCAAAATCATGAAGAGTGCCTCGAAATTTTATGAAAAATGGTCCGAAATTCCTTTGAAATACTCCAAAATCCCTGAAAATGGTCCAAAAATCATGAAAAATGACCGAAAATTAACTGAAAAATACGTTTCTGTATATATTGATGCTGTAAAAAGGCCATTCTCCATATTTCCAGCAACACTACGAAATGATTCATCTCGCCAAAATCTACTCACCCAAAAAACGAATCATCACATCGTGGAGCATCTCTTCATGCGGTCAATACCTTGTGATTGGCACTTCCAACGACACAACCATCTACAAAATCCTTCCGTTGGCCAAGAAGTTGAGCAAGAAGATTCTGAAGCACGCCACGTTGGATGGAGGGGATTCTATTGCCACGTCGTTCTGTGTCACCAGAGAGAATCGGTTGTATGTGGCGAGGAACGATTTTGAGATTGTGGAGTACGATGTGACGAAGGAGAATGGAAAGGAGAAGAGAGTGGTGATTAGTCAGAGTAAGTATAAAATTGAACCGAAAATCATGAAAAATGGTCCACAATTCATGAAAAATAATCCAAAAATCATTAAAAATAGCCCCAAATTCATTGAAATTGGTCCAAAACTCCCCAAAAATGGCCAAATTTTAGAATTTCAAGCTAAGCAATGGTCCAGTTTCTTGATTCCAGACAATTTCTGCAATTTCCACATCTAAAATTGATATAAATTTTAAAAAATACAGGATTTTTGTTCACCTATTTTGGCATGTTTTCATGATATTGTAAAGCGAAAAATGGCAAATTTTGAGTCTGGAAACTACTGGAATTTGCTTCTGAATACCCCCTAAAACTGAAAATTCGGGAAAATTAGCGATTTTTCGCAAAATTTTTAGACCTTTTTAGGTTTTTCAGCTATTTTTGAAGACTCTTTTCCAATTTTTCCGATTTTTTAAACTGAAATTTGATGGAACGGTGTTCCGGATTACTGTAGATTACTGTAGAAATTCCTTCCGTAATTTTTTTTGCCAACACAATTTTACCTGCATTTTGACGTGTTTTGCAAAAGGACTACAAAATACAAGGTTTTCTACAGTAATCTACAGTAATCTTGGACACCGTTCAATCGAATTTCAGACAAAAAATTCGGATAAATCGTAAAATAATCTTTAATGATAGCTGAAAAACCAAAAAAGGTCTAAGAATTTTGCAAAAAATCGACGGAAAAATCAATTTTGTCTCTCGAAAAAGTGTTAATTTTTTGGAGTTTTCAGTTCTGGCGGGAATTCAAAAATAAATTACTCGAGAATTGTCCGAAAGACGAAACCTAAGATTTCTCGCCTTTTGATCATAAAAAAATAGTTCAAATTCATGGAAAAACGGTCCTAAAATCGTGGAAAATGATAAGAAATTCATTGAAATTGGTCACAAATTCATATAAAATTATCCAAAATTGATGAAAAATGGTCCAAAATTCGTTAAAAATGGTCTGAAAATCATGAAAAAATGGCCAGAAATTCACATTTTTAAACAATAAAATTTTGCTCCTTCATGACTGAGCAATACGATTCTCTGTTCCAGACGACTGTGGAAGTGTGATTCGAATGTCTGCGTCTCCATGTGGAAAGTATCTCTGCGTGCTGACAACTCGTTCCCAGGTGTTCGCAATCTCTGTGGAATCCGGCGAGTCTCGACTCCTAAAAGTGGATCTTCCCATCGATTTGATTCTCAACTCCACGTCGGCATTCGTTTTGTCGTCGATCACTTCTGGAGACTCGAATCAGGACACGAAGAAGGTCTTCCATGAAGTTGGCCTCTCGAATGGACTCGTCAAAAGATCGGCGTGCTCGAATCAGTTGAGAATGATTCCGAGTAGCCCCAAATCGATTGTACCCGGACAGCCGATCTATGTGATGGCAATCACTGCGTCTAGGATCATGACGGTGTCGTATGATGGGCATTGGTCCATTCTTGATGTGGTAAGAGAGTTAAAAATTTTGAAGCTTGAGTTTCAGACTTGTTGATTTTCAGACATTCTAACTAGTCTAATTGAATTTTTCACAAAATTTACGAAATTTTGATACCCATATTGTCCTAGAAACTTCAAATTTAGGTCTCTGAATTCTGACGTCATCTGAAAATTCAGAATCCCAAATTTGAAGTTTCTAGGGCAATATGGGTATCAAAATTCTGGAAATTTCGTGGAGAATTCAGCTAAAACAGTAAAAGTTCAAAAAAAAAAAGATTTCCACGGTTTTCCCAAAATTCAGAATCCCAGAAGACGTCAGAATTGAAAATTTCAAAAATAATTCTCATCATTCTAGCTGAATTCTCTACAAAATTCCTAACATTTTGATGCTCATATTGTTTTAGAAACTTGAAATTTGAGTTCCTGAATTCCTGACGTCTTCTGAAAATTCAGAATCCCAAATTTGAAGTTTCTAGGGCAATATGGGTATCGAAATTCTGGAAATTTCGTGGAGAATTCAGCTATTCAGCTATAACAGTAAAAATTCCGAAAGGAAAGTGATTTTCCGCGGTTTTCCTAAAATTCAGAATCCCAGAAGACGTCAGAATTTGAAAATCCCGAAATTCAGGTTTTCCCACCTACTTTTCATTATTCTAGCTGACTTCTCTACAAAATTCCTGACATTTTGATACCCATATTGCCCTATAAACTTCAATGTTGGGATCCTGAATTCTGACGTCTTCTGAAAGTTCTGATTTTTGAAAATTTTGGAACTAGGGCAATATAGGTATCAAATTGAAGGAAATTCCATGGAGAATCCAGCTAAAATAGTGGAAATTCGAGAAAAAGCGAATTTCAGCGATTAAAATTGCGAAAAATCTGAAAAATTCGAAATTTTCAGAAAAATCTAAAAATTTTAGAAATGAAACAATCTGAATTTTTTAAATCTGAAATTTTTTGATTCTAAAAAAAATGAAAAAATCTGAAAATTTCAAAAATCTGAAAATTCCGAAAAATCAAAAAATTCAAAATTCTGGAAAATACAAAAATCACAATTTCCAAAAAAATCTGAAAATCTCGAAAATTCGAATATTCTGAAAAATCTCAAAAAATGAAAAAATCTGAATATTCCAAAAAATCGAAAGTTCTGAAAAATTCAAAAAATCAAAAATCCCCAAAATCTCAAAAAATCAACTTTCCAGGACGCCGGAACCGTATTTTCTGCCCAAGACGGACCCCTGAAAGCCAACAAGAAGGCGATCCAATCCGACCGGCCCGCCCTTCTCTACACTGGAATTCGTTTAAGAGAAGAATCCGAATCTTCTGCTTCTGATTTTCAAAGTGCTGCTCCAGCCAAAAGAACGAGAAGAACATCAGTGAGAAGCAGTGTTCCAGACGCCTTCCAGTCTCTGAATAGTCGTGTAGTCCAATTGGAAGTCAGTGGAGATGAGACCCCGAAAACCGCCAATTTCAAATTGAAGAAGTTCGGAATGCAGTAGATTTTTTAATTTTTAATTTCCTGTTTTTGTTTTTTTTTAGATCTCCATTGTTGATTTTTTTACATTTTTTGTTATTTGTTACACATATGAAATTTTTGTCTTCTTTCCTTCTCTACGACTTCATAACCACTAGAAAAAGTTTCGACGAGGACCCCCAGATGGGGAAGAGCGTGGACGAATAATTGGATTGGTCAGCGTGCGCACTCTTCCGAATGCTCCTCACAGCCTTCCCTAAAGTGAATAAGTGGAGGAGAGAGGAACCATCTAATTTGAGAAGCAATGGAGGAATCGAACCCCTGGCTTTTGGATCCATAGACAATGTCAAAACCGATTGCGCTAACTGCGCACACGTTAATTAGACTAGTATTTGTTATAAGAAGAGTTAGAAAGTAGAGAATAAAGAAGAAAGAACTGAAATGGCGTTGGTGGGAGTCGAACTAACAAAAGTGGCGGGTGGCTGAACTAAAAGCGGGCGCGCTCCCACCTGCGCCAAAGGCGCTGAGATAGATGGTGGAGGGCGTATAAGAATAGCCGACTTTTCGAAGCTTAGGGGGGGGGGGGGGGGGGTAAGGGTCGGCGTCGCTAGCTGAAAGGGAGAAAACAAAAAATTAGGAAAAGAGAACATCTTCTTCTCCTATTTTCCAATTTAGGTTCCCAGAAAAAAAACGGACCAACCATTCCCCATTTCCATTCTCTTCTCTTCTTTTTCCCGAAGATGCCTCTCCTCTCAATTTTCTCCCTTCTGGGGAAGAAGAAGAAGGAAGAAGTAAGTAAAAGAAGATGTGCACAGAGCACAAATACATTCTCTTCTTCTTCTTCTTCTTCTATTCCTTCTTCTTCTTCTCCATAAAGTCGCAACTGGATAAGTGGACAGAAAAGAAGAGAGAATCGATTTTTTTTGGCTTTTTGAAATCCTTTTAAAACATTTCAAATTAAAAAAAAGAACATTTTCCAGATGGTAAAATGATCCTTCTCATCGTCATCCTCCATTTCATCATTATCATCGAATGCTCGTATTGTCCCATCAAACATATTCATTCTTCCACACCAACTACAGGTAAGAAGAAGTCGGCGTTAGAAATAGGGATTCAGAAGACGTCAAAAATAGAACTTCTTAAAATTTTTAAATGTTTGCTAACACTACAAGAATTTTCCTGTTGAATGATCTAAAAATCATAAAAATTAATCCACTAGATTAGAAGTTACAGGGTTTTGAAATTTAAGTCGTAGCAACTGCGCTCCACTAGATCCAGAAGACGTCAGAATCATGATTTTTCTTCAAATTTAAAAGTTACACACAATATTCTAAAAATTATCTATCACTTGGTCTTAAATTCATAAGAAATGGTCCACTGGGAAGGAAGTTAGAGCCGTTTGAAGCTAAATGGGAAGTAGCGTTAGAATTTGGGATTCTGAAGACGTTCAGATAGATTTTTGAAAATTTCAAAATGTTAGCTAGTACTAGAAAAAATTTCCTTCCATGGGTGTAAACATCAGGAAAACCGGTTCACTAGGAAAAAAGTTACAGCGTTTTGAATATTAAGTCGCTGCAACTGCGCTCCACTAGGTCCAGAAGACGTCAGAATTCGAATTTTCGGTAAAATTCAAAAATTTAACACAATATTTAAACAATTTATTTATTATTTAGCTCAAAATTCATAAAAATTGGTCGACTGGAAAAGAAGTTAGAGGCGTTTGAAGCTATATAGAAATCGACGTAAGAATTTTGGATTCGGAAGACGTCAGAGTTTGAATTTCTTAAAAATTCAAAAAATCTCTCAAAATTACATAAAATTTCCTGTTTAATGGTGTAAACATCATAAAAATCGGTCCACTAGGAACAAAGTTGCAACGTTTTTAAATTTAAGTCGTAGCAACTGCGCTCCACTAGATCCAGAAGACGTCAGAATTCGAATTTTCAATAAAATTCAGAAATTGAACACTATATTAAAAATATTATCTATCATTTCGTCTAAAATTCATAAAAAATGGTCCACTGGGAAGGAAGTTAGAGCCGTTTGAAGCTAAATGGGAAGTAGCGTTAGAATCTGGGATTCTGAAGACGTCAAAATGTAGATTTTTGAAAATTTCAAAATGTTAGCTAGTACTAGAAAATGTTTCCTGTCCATGAGTGTAAAAATTATAATAATCGGTTCACTAAAAAAGAAGTTACAGTGTTTTGAAGTTTATGGCATTGAAATTGCACTCCACTAGACCCAGAAGACGTCAGAGCTCAAATTTTTGGTAAAATTCAAAAATTGAACACAGTATTCTTAAAATTCTCTATAATTTGAGCCAAAATTCATAAGAATTGGTCCCCTGGAAAGGAAGTTAGAGGGGTTCGAAGCTAAATAAAATATCGACGTTAGGATTTGGGATTCAGAAGACGTCAAAAATAGAATTTGTTGAAATTTTGAATTGCCAGCTAAAATTCAAAAAAAAATCCTCTTTAATGGTGTAAAAATCAAAAAATTTGGTCCACTAGAAAAGAAGTTACAGTGTTTTGAAATTTAAGTCATTGCAATTGCGCTCCATCAGATCCAGAAGACGTCAAAAATAGAATTTTTAAAATTTCGGAATGTTTTCTAAAATTACATAAAACTTCCTGCTTAATGTTGTAAAAACCATAAAGATTGGTCAACTGGGAAGGAAGTTAGGGGCGCTTACACCAATTTTTGAGTCGGCGCTAGAATTAGGGATTCAGAAGACGTCAAAAATAAAAATTTTTACATTTTCAAAATATTTCTCATATTTTCCAGAAATTTTCTGTTTATTAATGTAAAAATCATAACAATTGGTAAACTAGAAAAGAAGTTACAGTGTTTTGAAATTTAAGTACATATTTGCAATTGCGCTCCATTTCGCTCTTTTCGACAAAACTAATCACAACTGTGTTCAAATTTTTTCGACTTTTATGAAATTTGCACCAGTTGATAGGAAATCTTCCATAGATATTTTTACCAACTTGAATTTTTCCAAAATCTCTATTATGACATTTTTTAAGCCAAAGAAGTGAGACTATACATATGTAGTGAGACTATATAGATCTATTTGGGATCCAGGCGACGTCAGAATTATTTTTCAAAAAGAAAGTCTAATTATTTGTTGAAAATACAGAAAATTCGCTGTCAATTGGTATAAAAATAATAAAAATCGGTCTGCTAGAAGAATAATTACAGAGTTTTGAACTTTTAAAACCCAAAAAAAGGCAGTAACTAATTTCCTAGTAGACCGATTTTCATGAAATTCCTACCAGACACTAATTACCGTAAAACCTCTAATAGAACGACACCCGGATCGTCCACTTTGAGCCTATATATCTCACTTCTTTTGAAAGATATCAAAAAGTGGTTAACTAGTAAAATGTTTATCAGGTTATCAGCAACATTTTACCAGTTAGCCACTTTTTGATATCTTTC